TCGGCCGCTCCCGGCCACCGCAGCCTCGACCTGCTGGGTTCCAGTGATCCTTCCGCCTCAGCCTTCCAAGTAGCTGGAACTACAGGCGCGCGCTACCACACCCAGCTAATTTTTTGATTTATTGTAGAGATGAGGTCTCACCAAGTTGCCAGGGTGGGTCTCGAACCTGAGGGCTCAGACAATCCACTCACCTCAGCCTCCCAAGGCACAGGATTACAGGCTGAGCCACCGAGCCCAACTCCAGGTAGTTCTTTCTGAACTATGTTGGCCGTCTCTCCATTTCTCCCACCCTCTCTGCAACTAATGGAAATGTCTCCTCTCCCCTATATGTGTTAGGGCCAACAAAATGAACAGGTAGAGGACCAGTGGGCAAGCCTGGGGTTTCCCAGATATGCCTGTTTGTACGAACTACTCGGGGCGCCCTCACCTAGAGATTCTGGTTCAGAGCTGGGCCTGAGAGTTTCTTTTTATTTTATTATTATTATTTTTTTGAGTTGGAGTCTCACTCTGTCACCCAGACTGGAGTGCAGTGGCCACTCCCGGCCACCACAGCCTCGACCTGCTGGGCTCCGGCGATCCTTCCGTCTCAGCCTTCCAACTAGCTGGAACTACAGGCGTGCGCTACCACGCCCGGCTAATTTTTGATTTATTGTAGAGAGGAGGCCTCGCCAAGTTGCCCAGGCAGGTCTCGAACCCGCGGGCTCAGGCAGTCCACTCACCTCGGCCTCCCAAAGCACGGGATTACAGGCTGAGCCTAGAGTTTCTATTATTAGTGAGCACATCAGATGATTCTTACAACTAAGCAAATTTTGGGGCACAAGGCTAATCCAGGCCAACAGAGGTCTCCTGTCCCAGAGTGGGCAGTGGGGTGGAGAGGCTGCTAGATTTGCTCCTTGCAGTTAATAAGCGAGTCAACCTGTATCCCGCGCTGGTTTCCTGTATCACCTTTCCTTTATGACAGAACCGTGATTCCTGGGCACACATGGCAGTGCAAAAATGCTGTCTGACCTACTTTGGGGAGATGATTTGAGCGAAAGACACCCAGTCTAGCCCAGGTGACATTAACATCTCTCTCTGGCTTTGTGCTTAGACTGAAGAACCTGGAGCTAGCTGCTGTGGGAGGATCAGACGTCCGCGTGAAGATGCTGGCGGCCCCTATCAATCCATCTGACATAAATATGATCCAAGGTAACCTTGGTTTCTGTGGCTTATGTTAATTGGCTTTTTTGCTCAGCTGCCACCTCGTTTTCATTCCTCCTCAGGTGTGGGTGTGAAATTCCTGTGATTAGCAGCAGCTGTTCTCCAGATGAGCCATCTGCAGGTTGTGTCAGCCCTCTCTGGCCTGCCTTTTCTGGAATGTGAGGCTTTCTGAGAGTTAGGAAGATTGCAGTGGAGCGTAAACCCACCATTGTGAGGTACCTGCGACACGCTGGGCTCATTTTTTTGTCTTATCTGATCCTTATAATTACCATGAACACTAAAGACTATTATCCCGCTATACAGACAAGGAGGCTAAGACTCATAGGCTGGTTAGGCTGCTAGTCAAAAGCGGAGTCCAGATCAGGCATGGGTCTGTCAGACTTCAAAGTCCATGCACCTTCACTGCTGAACTTCAATGGTTGACCCTTACGTTCTTCTCCCTTAGGAAATTACGGCCTCCTTCCCAAGCTGCCCGCGGTTGGAGGGAACGAAGGCGTCGCCCAGGTGGTAGCAGTGGGCAGCAGTGTTATTGGGTTGAAGCCGGGAGATTGGGTGATTCCAGCAAATGCTGGCTTGGGTGAGTTTCTCCAGGTGTCCACAGCCTTTGTGTTCTCCTGGATTCTGTATCTACTCCAAGATATCCACTCATTGGCTCCATGTTAACAAGCAGTGCAATGTTCACTATTGAGTCTATATCCCTGCCTCTGGTGGGGTGGGAGCTAACCAAGCAAGGAGAGCAACATCCTGTTTCTTTGCTCTGGAGGTGATGTCCCTGCATCCTCATCTCCTCGGCCCATACTGATTGGAGCTGTAATTCTCTGAATCCCTGTGTTCCTAAATCCTTGCTCTACAGTGCAATGGAGAATACAAATAAGATTATCCCTGCCCTCCAGGAGGTTCATATCTAACTGAAGAGATCTCTAAACCAAGAATAAATAATAAGGGGAGTACTACAAGGAAGCAGAGGGTGTGTCTGGCTCTTCTGTGTGTGCGTGTGTCTGTGCATGAGAGAGAAATAGTGTTGGGACAGGGTCAGAATAGGCCTCATGGAGGAGGCTTCATTGGACCGGACCTTTCATGGATAAATTTTGTTAGATAGAGATGAACCAAAAAGCATTTCATGTGGAGAAAGTAACATGAGCGAAGACACAAAGATGAGCTTAGGAAATGGCGGAAAATCCATTGTAGCCTCAGCAGAGGATTTGTGTATGGGAGGGGATTACATGAGCAAGAAGGAAGGCCAGAAAACCATGTGAGGCCCTGCACAAACCAAACTGAGGAGGATTTTCTTTGCTGTACGGTAAGAAGTCATTAGTGGGTTTGAGATTTTTTTTAGCACTTAACAGTTTTCAAGGCATACCCATTACACAGATAAATCCTCATAAGCACTACAAGAGGGAAGCAAGGCAGACATTATCTACCCTTCGGATGTATGAGGCACTGAAGCTTGAGAAGTAAATCCCCTGCCCAAACTGAAACAAAAAATGAGAGCACTCACTGGATTCTTGTCTCCTGTGTTCCCGTTGCACTCCAGTGTTTGTAAAGACCCAACTCAACCTTGCTGTAAAAAAAAGTTAATTGATTTGTGGAACTGAGAAGTGTAAGAGATTGAAAGCTTCAGGTTCAGCTGGATCCAGGAACCCAAGTGCTGTCAGAGCTCTTTGTCTCTCTTGTTCTCACTAGTTCTCAGATGGGATCTCCCCACATAGTGGTACAATCATAGCAACAAGTATTTACTGGCTGCTTTCTTTGTGCCAGGCATTGTTCTCAGCACTTTATATATCTTAACTCAGTTATGCCCACAGCTTACATTATTATTCCCATTGTGCAAATGAGACAACAGTAAATGTAAAGGATTAAGCAGCTTGCCCGAGGTCACCCAGCCAGTAAGCAGTAGAGTTAAGATTCTGGGCTGGGCTCGGTGGCTCAGCCTGTAATCCCAGCACTTTGGGAGGCCAAGGCGAGTGGATTGCCCGCAGGTTCAAGACCACCCAGGCAACTTGGTGAGACCTTATCTCTACAATAAATCAAAAATTGGCCGGGCGTGGTAGCATGCTCCTATAGTTGGCTGAGGCAGAAGGATCACCTGAGCCTAGCAGGTCAAGGCTGCGGTGGCTGGGAGCATGCCACTGCACTCCAGTCTGGGCGACAGAGTGAGACTCCAGCTCAAAAAAAAAAAAGAGAGAGATTCTGAACCACTCTGTTACATACCTCTCATGAATGACCACCAGCAGACTGAGGTTTATATCACCCTGAAAACAAACAAATGAGCACATCCTTGGCTGAGCAAAGTGGCTCACACCTGTAATCACAGCACTCTGGGAGGCCACGGCTGTAATCACAGGATGGGCACAAAGGCAAGGGTCTCCTGCCTTGGGAAGCATTAAGATAGACTTCCTGGAGAAGTGATGCTTCAACTTGGTCTGGAAGACCTCCTAGAAGTGTAACCAGAAGGCTGGGTTAGGAGGGGCTTCCCAGGCAGGAAGCGCAGCATATGCAGCATGTGAGAGAGTTGCAGGCAGCTCAGTGTGACTGGCTGATAGGTGGGAATGGGGAAGAGGCCAAATGGAGCTGGAGAGGTAAGCTGGGGCTAGGGCATGGAGGACCTGCATCCACGTCAGAGGGTCCCGAGGGAGAGTTAAGTGCAGGAGTGATTTGATCAGATTTGTCCAATGCAGAGAATGATCTGGACAGGCAGAAGATAGAGGCAGGAAACAGTGAGGAGGTGGGCAGAAGATTCAGGCTTCGTATGATGAGGGTCTGTCAGTGCCATAGACCTGGAGAAGAGGGAGTGGACCCAAGAGCTCAAGTCACAGGACTTGATAATGCTTTGGACGTGGAGGGAAGAGAAAAGGACATCTGTCAGGTATACAGGTAACTGTATGGGGGTAGTGCTAGCCAGAGCAGGGACTCCTGTCTGGAGAAGAGGTGAGTCTGTTAAGCAAGGTGCCAGTTGGAGAGGGTGAGGATTTTATCATGGTGAGGACTATAATTAACTCAGCTTATTCAGTAAACATTTTGTGAGCATTGGCAGCATGCTGGGCTCTAGGATACAGCAGTGAACAGACATGGTCTTTCTTCTGGTGAAGACTGCATTTCAGTAAGAGTGGCAGTCATTAAACACAAATGTCCTCAACTGGCCAGATCTTGGTCATTTTTCATGGTACTGAGCTGCCCAGCTGTTGCCGTGCCCATAGCCAGCTCTTTCCCATGTATAGCCAGTCCCAGGGAAGACTGAACCACAGAATGTGGGTAAATCTTTGCCAGCTGATTTTCTCGTTGGGAAATATTCAACACCTTCCTGAGGCAGCACAGGGCAATAGAAGAAGCACTGGCCTGGGAGTCAGATGCATCTTCTTCCAGCTCCACTGTATGACCTCATTTGAAGTCACAACTACTTTGAGTCTCAGTTTTTTCATCTTTTTTTTTTTTTTTTTTTTTTTTAGTTCGGGTCACACTCTGTGGCTCAGGCTGGAGTGCAGTGGCTCAATCATGGCTCTCCACAGCCTTGACCTCCTGGGCTCAAGCAAATCTTTTACCTCAGCCTCCCGAGCTGGGACTATAGGTGCGTGCCACTACACCCAACTAATTTTTTATTTTTTGTGGAGATGAAGTCTTGCTATGTTTTCCAGGCTGGAAGTTTTCATCTTTAAAATGGAGCTAGTAGTCTCTGCCTTGCATATCTCAAAAGAGTCTAGCATAGCTCAACTGAGGGACTGTATGTAGTGATCTTTGCAAATGCTAAACTTCTGTGTGTGTTAGATCAAGAGTTGGCAAACTTTTTCTGAAAAAGGCCAAATAGTAGATATTTTAGGCTTTGCAGGCCATACCATCTTTGTTGTGACTACCCAACTCTATCATTGTAAGCACCTGTAGGCGATATAAAGAATTAGCCAGGCAGGGTGACACATGCCTATAGTCCTAGCTTCCTAGGCTGAGGCAAGGACTGAGACTGCAGTGAGCTATAATTGCACCACCTCACTCTAGGTTGGATGACAAGGTGAGACCCTGTCTTTAAAAAACAAAATTAAGCCGGGCTCGGTGGCTCAGCCTGTAATCCCGCGCCTTTGGGAGGCTGAGGTGAGTGAATTGCCTGAGCCCGCGGGTTCGAGACCCGCCTGGGTAGCGAGACCTCATCTCTACAATAAAATCAAAAAAAAATCAGCTGGGCGTGGTGGCGCATGCCCTGTAATTCCCGGCTACTCGG